GGGCTCCATGTGTCAGGAACGTGCACAGGGCCATCCACACGGCCTCGAGGCACCTTCCGAATTGGTTACCCTAGTACCAGGGCCACCCACCCTGGGGTGGACGCACTGGCAAGCCACGGGACCACAGAACAAGGTGGAGCAGAACTGCCCTGAGGCCACCGCGAGGAAGGGGGCCGCCGTTTCGCGGGTTCTCCAGGTCCAGAGATGCTCATCGGGCAAGTAGCCCCGGAGCCTGTCTGGGAGGCCTGGCAGCCACAACCAACAGAGCCTTGCGACTGAGCCGTGGCCACGTTCAACACCAAGGGGCCCTGCTGGCCAGGGAGGACACCAAGGCCTTTGCCACCCACACAGCAGCCCCCCGAAGAAGCCCCACCGCTTGGCGATGGCTGCAGAATGAGTTGGAGGGACTGGGGGCGACATCTTCCACCCCATGAATGCAGAGGAAGGCAAGGTGAGGGGATGGCCCCGGGTTCAGGCACAGCTGCTACGGGCCCTTGACTTTTTTTTTTTTTTTTTGAGATGGAGTCTTTCGCTCTGTCACCCAGGCCTGGAGTGGCAGTGACACAACTTTCCGGCTCAGTGTTGCCACGTTCCCTGACCCCATGAGCCCAGCAGACGCTGCATCTTTGGTTCCGGTCAGCACTGCCTTGGTGGTGTCCAGGCCCCCCTGGACGGCCCCTTTGGCCATGCTCATGGCACCGGTCACCCCACTGCAGACGGTGTCCTTGGTACCCGTTAGCACAGCCTTGGAGGTATCCACGCCAGTCTGCATGGTTCCTTTGGCGACATTCACTGCCCCCATGACTCCAGTAGTCACTGTGTCCTTAGTGCCACTCAGCACCGTCTTGGCTGTGTCCACACCTGTCTGAACGGTCCCTTTGGCCACATTCACAGCACCAGTGACTCCACTGCAGACGGTGTCCTTGGTACTGGTTAGGACAGTCTTGGTGGTGTCCACACCGGTCTGGACAGTCCCCTTGGCCAAGTTCACAGCGCCTGTGAGCCCAGTGGACACAGCGTCTTTAGTGCCAGTCAGGACAGACTTGGTGGTGTCCAGGCCCCCCTGGACGGCCCCTTTGGCCACATTCGC